AATACTGTAAACCTGCCTTCCAATACCTCTGAGGTGACTCACCTCAAAGACTAAGTTTATGTCACATTTATATTCAACCAATAATTAACAAGAGCCTATTATGTGAAGATACAACAGTGGATAAAATGCTAAGTCCTTCAGGGGATACAAAAACATATCCCAATATGTGCCCTTAAGGAACTAACATTCTTTACCCATCTTTGTTTTATGATCTATTATCGTATAAGATTTTAGTCTCTGCAGTTTTGCTCAAGGCCCTATTGATCAGAAAATTTTTGAGATAAATGAATTCTCATTTGGATTAACTCACTCCCCCAGTCCTTCTCTGCAGCTTTGCTACAGAACTTCTGCTACAGCATCAGACAGATAAGTAGGTCAGCTTCGGCCAGACTTATTACCTACCATTTTCTTTCTCTGAAGTTCTAACACACCACAGCTATTCTTGTCACTGACACAGAGACAACTCTTTGAATGACAGCTTCTAACTTCCTTGCTCCAGCTACCACTTAGCAAGGACCTCTTTTCTTCCACAGAATTCCATTTATGTCTCGTTTGAATTGCTCAGTTTATTATGCAGATTTATGAAGATGCATAACTTTAAAGAAAACTATTTTTAAAATTTAGCTGGTTTTCCTTCTTAATTTCAAGTAGAATGTTTTTACTCTCTTAAAAAGTGACAACAGACTTTTTCTGAGGAGGATTCATGAAAAATATAACAATCTGACTAGTTTTGAAACACAGCATAGTTACAATGACTTTAATACCTTGAGCATACCATCACTTAGAGCATAATAAAATGGTCATTTAGTCATTGTTTGCCTTCCCAACTTATAGTAATTTTTAAGGAACAAACATTATACAAGTAATATTCATTCTCTAATATAAAACTATTTTAAAATATCTCAATTAAATATGATTCTTATCCACAAAGAAATGTCATCAAGTGGAACCAACTTCAGGCTGGGCAAAGACCAATGGTACTGAATATGGTTCTGACTGCACCCTCTCGCACCTCATTCGGCCAAAGGAAATAATTACGCAGGGATAGGGGAAATACGGTGGCAGTCATGCTAGTCATGATGCTAAAACCATGTCAGCCAATGCTGCATTTCTTCAAGAGATTCACACCTGTCAGAGTTGCTCAGGCCCAGGAGTAGATACAAAATAAATACTTTCTTAGGCCTTACAAGTAAGGGCAGAGTCTCTGATGAGGGAGTCATAAAAAATGATGAGGGAGTCTTATAAAAAAAGCTATCTGAGATCCAGAAGGATGAAATGCCAAAGTAGGCTTTAATTTTTCATGGCATTTGATTTTTTACTCCAATTACAAAATAAAATAGCAAAGAAATATTCCATGGAAATTTATAATCTAGTCCCAGTAAAATTATATATCACTTTACTGAATATTTGTTCCTAAGTAAGAATTATTGCCAAGAATTCTAAATATTATAGAGTTTATGAAAAAATATCTATCTTGACTTTCAACAAACATTTATAGAATGCCTGTTGTACACCAGGCATTGGGGAAGAGCTCCCAATCACTTTCCCTTTATGTTTGTCATTGTTTAGCACTCTCTTCTTAGACTAGAATTAAGATCTAAAGAGCCTGTCTGTCAGATATTTAAATTCTTTTACTTACAAATTCCATTTTAAAAAAATTGTCTTTGGGATGAATATAAATGCAGTTTAAATCCTAGTGATTGATACATTGGGTTGTCGGAAAAGTCAAGACGCATTTTTGCAACGAAAAACAGAAAAAATACATCATGACTTTTCTGACAACCCAATATATATAATGCTTATTGTTATGACATTTAAATAACAATTTGTAATATAGCCAATAACTTTTTATTGTTGTAAAATATGCACAAAATTTACCATAAGTGACACTTAATACCTTCACTCTGTTGTGTAACCATTACCACTAATTAGCTCTAGAATATTTTCACCCTGAAAGGAAACTCCTTTCTCATTAAGCAGTCATTTCCCCAACCCCTCTTCCTCCCGGTTGTTCAACACCATTTGCCGAAGAGACTATTCTTTCTCCACTGAATGGTCTTGGCACCCTTGTTGAAAATCAGTTGATCACAGTGGATTGACTATAGCTTATTTCTGAATTTTCTATTTTACGCTGTTGGCCTATATGTTTATCCTTAAAGCTGTACCATACTGTTTTAGTTACTGTAGCTTTGTAACAAATTTTAAAATCAGGAAAAGTGACTCTTCCAATTTTGTTTTTTTCATGATTATTTTGACTCTTTTGGGTCCTTTGCAAATTCCATATGAATTTTAGGATCAGCTTTTCCATTTCCGCAAAAAAAAAAGAAAAAGAAAAGGCTATTGGGTTTTTTATAGGAATTGCCTTGAATCTATAGACTTACTTGGGAGTATTCTTAACATTATTAACTTATGAATATGGGATGTCTTTCTTTCAGCAATGTTTTGTAGTTTTCAGTGTACAAGCCTTGCATCTCCTTGGTTAAATTTATTCCCAAGTATTTTATTCTTTTTGATGTTACTATAATTTTCTTAATTTCTCAGATTTTTATCCTAGTGTATAGAAAATCAACTGACATTTGTGTTGATCTTGTATCCTGCAACATTACTGAATTTGTTTATTAGCTCTAATAGTTTTTGTTTTGTTTTGTTTTTTGGTGTGGATTCTGTAGGATTTTTAATATATAGGACCATGTAGTTGCCGATTGAGAAAGTTTTAACTTCTTCCTTTTTAATTGGGATTCTCTTTATTTCTTTTTCTTAATTGCTCTGGCTAGAGTTTCTGGTACAACGTTGACGAGCAGTGGTGAAAGTGGGCATTTTTCTGATCTTAGAGGGAAAGATTTCAATCTTTCACTGCTTAGTATGTTGTTAGCTATGGATTTTTCATGAATGCCTTTTAACGGGTTGAGGAAATTTGATTCTCTTCCTAGTTTGCTGAGTGTTTTTACCATGAAAGGGTGTTACTTTTTGTCAAATGCTTTTTCTTATCAATTGATATGATCATGTTATAAGTATTTTCCTCTTTATTCTATTTTATTTTAATAATAAAGAGCATTATTTTCATGTCACTTAGTTTCTTCGAGCTGTTGTTCCTATCATTCTATCAATGTGGTATATTAGTGATTGATTTTTGTATGTTAAACCATCCCTGTATTCTTGAATTAAATTTTAGTTTGTCATGGTGTATAATCTGTCGTTGTCTGGTTTTGGTATTAAGATAATGCTGGCCTTATAGGATGAATTAGAAAGTGTTACCACCTCTCCTTTTTTTTCTTTTTTGGAAGAGTTTAAGAAGAATTGGTGTTAATTCTTTAAATGTTTGGTAGAATTTATGGTGAACCCATCCAATTCTGTACTTTCTTTGTTAGGAGGTTTTTGATTATTGATTCAATCTCTACTTATTATAGATGTTTTTAGATTTTTTTAAAAATCAGTTTTGGTAATTTGCTTGTTTGTAGTTTGCTGGCATTAAAGCTTATTTTTGATGAATAAATTTGTTTATAGCTCAGTCACCCAAAATACCATGCAATTTGGCTGGTATTTATAAAACTTGAAACGTATATCATGTTTTCTTACATTTACTTTTCTGAAGCAAAATGTATATAAAATTTCATAAGAGATTGAAGCAAGATTTCTCCCCAATACTAAGGAACCAAAATATTCTGAAAGGAGATTGACTGATATAAATTTATTTCAAAAAGTAATAAACCTTCATTTTTTATTTTGACGAAAATAAATGTTCCCCTCATAAAATGAATCCTCTCTTTTTCTAACTAGAAGCAGGAATGATAACTGTGGACTCTTGAGCCAGACTGCCTATATGAGAATCCCTGCTCTGCCACTTACTTGCTATATATAATCTTAGGGTTAACCTCTCTGTGCTTCAGTTTCCTCCTCTGTAAAAAGAATAACAATAATAGAACCTACCTCATAAGGTTGCTGTGAAGATTAAGTGTATTCATGTATGCAAAACCTTGGTTCCTAGTTCATAATAAGCATTCAATAATCATTAGAAAATATTATTTTTCATAAGGTGATCATTAATTGGGGTTAAAGACTAGTTAGACATCTCAATGGAGAGACTAACAGTAAAAGTCAAGGCAGCAATGTTGGATGATGGATACAAGAAAGAGCCGTATTTTCCTCTAGATTTATAAGACCCCAGACAAGGAGAAGAATAAGTGTTTCTTGTCATTAGAAAAGAAATGGTTCTCTTTACTAGCATCCAAGAAAGTGGGTTCTATTGACTATAAAACTGCATTAGAGAGGCCCTCTAGAGGGTTAAAAATCAAAGGAACTGTTCTAATGAACCCCATAAAGGAAGGAAGGTCCTCAAAGTGTAGAATCAGTTCCTTTAACATGAGTCTGACTCCACTGGACATAGGGAATGATGAGTGTTCAAAGGAATGATCATAAATATAAGTACTTCCTCTCAAATCACAGGTCTAAGCCTCCACCAGAAAAGGTGGTGTACTGAACGTTTCTGCTTTAAAAATTTTTTGTTCTTACACATTTTTCCTCTTCTCCCCCCCCCCTAAATATATAATATACCCCAGCTGATCTCTCTTTGTCAGGAATGTAATTTAATTCATACCCATAATATAATGAATATATTAAATATTAATTTGTCACTATAACTATTATTTTCTTAGCTGCCACACCAGCAAAATAACTACAGGATTTGTTTTGGGAATAGAAATACTCAGTTTTTTTGGTTTCCAAAGTAGAAACAATGTGGAAACATTTCATGAGCATTCAAAATTAGCTCAAAAAAAAAAAAAAAAAGGTTTGTTTCAGTTTTTAAAGAAAGCAACTAAAATAAAGGCTACCCTGATATAAAATGTGAAAATACGCTAACCACAACATTGTATTTGAAAATATGGGCATTTAGTTTATACTTATTTTATACTAAGATATAAATTAATGACTTCTACCTTAAAGGATTTATCATAAAATGTTACTGCCCAGGGTATTTTTGCAAACAATAAACAATTCACTGAGACTATTAACATTCACATATGTAATTAGAGTTTACAAATGTACAAAAATTGGGGTAATAAACACTTTAAGCTTATTTTTCAAACATACAATAAGCCCATTCCCCCCAAAATTGTTTGATTACAAAGAAGTACAAATGTTTACTAACTGTGGCAAACCGTAAGAAACAAGGCAGGGAGGCAAACACAGATTTGAGAACATAAGAATATCCAACCAGTTTTGTCAGTATTAAAAGACAAAATCAAAGTATCTTTTATAAAAGACAACAAATTCATAAAATTAAATACTAGGTGAAAACATTATAGGGTATATAACATTTATTTTCTTGACATAAATTTGCATATCTTAAATTTAATGCAAAACATCAAGTTTCAATTCCAATTTAAGAATATCATAATGTAGTTTTTGGAGAATCTAGATATAACTAGATATAATAAGATGGTTATTAAATAGACCCCAAAGGTTATATCAAGTTCTTATGTGGTCATTATTGTTTTAACTCAATATTTTTCTGTGTTCATTAGACTGACCTCATTTTAGAAATAAAATCCACAACCAAAGCACAGATAATAACAGCTATTTCTGAAGAAACTAAATAACATAGTCTTTAGTATGTCATTAAAAGAGTGGTGTGGTTAAAGAAACAAGCAAACAAATGAAAAGAAATTACTGCAACTCATGTATAATAAAGTTACAAAGCAAAATGTTAGAAGTTTTCTCTGGTATATTTGTACTGTAATAAAGGAAATGTGAGTAAAATGTGCTTGATTATTAAAAAATGAAATTCCCAATTAACACTGGGCTGTGTTTACGAGCAGTGTGTTTGTTCTCATATTTTAGATCAAGAACGTGTGCTCATAACCTACCAGCTGGAGTGAGATATACTAAGAAATGAAAGTGTATAATCTTGGTTTGTCCTCCCTTGTTTTAACATCTTCACTTCGTGATCAGGCACTCTGTGCCCAGGAATGTGGCATTGCAAATGTACTTAAAATGTATCTGCTGACAGTAGAATAAATGTACTATTAATAAATTCATAAAAGAAGAGGATATCTTCATTTAGAAAACAGAGCACTAAATTATAATTTTACAGTCACAACGCAAGCCCCAGCTCTTCCTAGGCACAGTGGAGCAACCTAAAAAGAAACAAAAAAACATGTATGTTAGGTTTGCAGGAAAAAATGTTGACGATACCAGGCCAGTTAGTGAAATATTGAAGTAGTCCGTACTTGTTGGCAAACAGCCCCCCAAAACCCTGGGGCCCCAGGCCTACCGCTGGCCTAATGCCTTCCTCAAAACCCTCCTCCTAATGTCAAACTTTCATAGACTAAATTGTTTTGGGCTTATCACATGATTATGTATTATTCACTTCTCTTTAAAAGTAATTTTTTTTCTCTTTTATTAATTGAGATATAATTGACATATAACCTTATATAAGTTGCAGATGTACAACATAATGATTCATTATTTGTATAGTTTGTGAAAAAAAGGTGTTTTCTTTTATAGCTCAGGAATTGTTCTATAGGAAACATGATGTTGTGGGCAAAATGGTGTAGAATGTGGATGTGAGGAAATACTGAATACTTAAAAGCAATTTGGTGACCGATATGGAGAACATGTCAAGCATTATCTAGAGAGGCCCTGTAAGAGAAGTGTTCTCTCAGAGAGAGTGCACAAAATACACCGCATGCCTGGGACCTCCTTACCCCAGAGGAACCGGAAACTTCACATTTCTTGACTGCCTTCTCTGTGCATGGCTGAAAAGTCTAAACCCATTCTACTACTTCTTAGCGGGTAATTAATAAATACCATCCATTCAACTCCCTCATAGTGAAAACAAACCTGGTAACTAAACTCTATGACAGTGAAATAGAAGTGTGGGGTGCTAGGTCAAGGAATATAATCTTATTATGGATAAGGAACAGCCCTTAAGTCTTGCACTTATTGTCCTTTTTTTTTTTTAACTTACCCTAGACACTGAGCAATTCATTGTGGAAATAAAAGCATGGAAAGAATAGTTTTTAAAGGACTACTTCGAGCACAGTAAGACTCTATGCATTTGACCTAAGAGAAATTAAACATCAGCATTTGGGAAGGGGTGACTAATACAAAGTACTAAGAAAGTTTGCTTTGTACTTATATATGTGGGAGTATGTCGTAAAGTGTTTCTGTCAAACAGATGATATAAAAATGACTTCCAAATCAGCTTGACACCTCCACCCCCAGACCAATGAGTGGATTTTTAGAATATATAGCAGACTTCAATTGTAAGAGAATTCTCAGTTGTCCTCAATTTGAATCAGAGGTTTTGATCACTGTTATATCTCATTGAACAAATAATCTATTAAAAATCATATCTACTTAACAATATTCTAGGAGTGACCTCTTAGTCATTTAAATCAAAGCATCTGTTTATAATTAGCAGCTTTTCTCAAAACACCCAAGACACTAAGTCTCTACATTGTGAACAGTCGATGTTGTCATGACAACCAGCTAGAAGGTTTAGCTTATAGAATGTATTAAATACAATTCAGTTGCCTCCTGCTTTGGGTCAAGGCTGGTGGTGGGGTGGGTGGTGGCTTAAGAATCTGTAATCTCATTTCATTCCCTGGATAAATGTCCTTGTCCATTTGTTGGATCACCGAATGGAAAACATTTATTTTTCAGATACTATGATTATAAGTTCACATTTAAGTGCTTTATAATAGTAATAGAGGTGGCATGCACACAAAATAACTATGTGGTCGTAGATAATTAATTGGGACACATAGTGATTCAGCATAAAGTATTAATTATCTGTAATAACGAGTCTCAAATACTGGGCAATAGATTTCCCTTCTAACTGGCCTAAGGGCTTAAGTCAAATACATCTCAGAGCAAGAGATTCTTCTACCTCTTTCTGGGCTCCTTGGTTATCATTCACAATTACTTCTGCCACGGTGGAGGCTGATGGGAAGCAATCACATAATTTCTAATGAAACCCGTCCTGTAGCTTTAACTCAAGCCCTCCAATTATCCTTTCTTCCCTCTACCAAGAGATCTCACTTTAGTCACTTACTTAAGAAACAAGATCAAGGTCATTCAATCTAAGTCCCTTTTTCTCTCTCTCTCTTAAAAACTCTATCTTTCTACATTCATTTTCACATCTTTGCCTCCAGCCTGGGATTCGCTCTACTCTCTTGATTTCATCTCTATTTTGAAGAAGACCCTTGGCTCCAATTTTAACTCCACCATTTATCTGCCATGTGACCTTGGGTCAGCTCTTTAACCTCCATCTGTCTCAGATTCCTCATCCGACATAGTGAGGAAATCACAGTACTAACCCAATAGGGCTGTTGGGAGGATTAAATAAGTTCTTTAAAGTGCTTAGAACAGAGGCTGGTACATAAAATATGCTCAATAAACATTCTCTTTCTATCATCCTTGTTTAAAATTTCATGCCCCTCAAGCTTCCTCATTTACTTTTATTCTTCTCTTTACTTTTTATACCGTGTGGTGGCTTCTGCTTCTATCACATTCTCAAAGGTCCCTACAACTCATGAATGACAAATCATCTCCATTCTTCCTTACACTGTTGAAACCCTGTCTTCTCTCTTTAAAGGCTCTATTCCATTACCTTCTTAGACACTCTCTGATCATTCGTTTGCTGTTTGCTTCAGAAGTGCAGTGAAGTGTACTTCACAATCCAACCCAGTAAGTGTATAAAGAAAATAATAAACAGGACTTGGTAATATCTCTTGAATCCATCTATATATTTAACTCCTCGAGCCTTACAAGTACAACTGATACAATCTTCTAAATGTCCTCAACTGCTGCCATGTGAACTTTGTATTACTGTATCACTCCCTGGGTTAAAAGTCGCCACTGGATTCTCATTACCAATCTCTTTAGCTTGACCTTCACAGACCTCCATCCTGACTGCAGCCTTCCTCTCCAATATGAACTCCCACTCTTCTCAAGCATCGATCCTTATAACCAGACACACTTCCTCAATATAGCCTGTATATTTCTGCTTCAGTAACATTTCTTTCATCTTTTCTCACACAATTTCCCCTTTCTTTTTACCATTTTGAATTGGATCAATTCATTAACGCTCAGCTTAAATCCAGCTTCCTTCTCACTGAAGCTCTCTTAACAACCATTTTCTTTTTCCTCTGATTTTCTATACCACTCACTGCTTCTACCCTGGGACATTTCATATCAACCGCTCCACATTACAGGTTCTCCCCTTACACATACAGATCTTAACTACCTAAATAGTTAAGTCCTATGACAGTGGGAATTCTCATAAGTTTTGCTTTCTTAACATTACTTACCATTGCTTCTTATAAGAAAACCTTGGCTGAATTAAACTTTTGAGTGTCTTTTATGTCCCAGATACTGAACTGGGACACAAAATCCCTGATTCTATTTTTGGTGATGATGAAAAGAAAGCTCTCAAAAAATCATTCTTAGAAGTACTAGGTCCTCCCAGAAATAGACACAGTTGGAACTCTTTCTGTTAAGTTTGCCAGGTCAAATGTCTTACTTGTTAATATAATTTAGGATTGCCATCTTTATTAGGTTATGAACAGACATTTGATCTGTTCCCAAATATCAGTGGCTTCAGTACTGAAAAATCATTGTTCATGTATGGGTAAGTGGTTCAAATTTTTCTGACTACGTCTTTGTTTTTCATTATTCACAATTTCGCCTTCCTTTTTATAACCCTCCTGTGTTCCTATCAGCTCTATCAATGCTAGAACACCTCATCAATTTCCAGCAAGCAAATGGTGGCAGACCAACTAACAATAATTTGTTGAGTAGTATTAAGTTATACTTCAAAGGTAATTTTGGATTTTCATTATGTTATAAAATTAAACAGTCTCTCGTTTTCTTATATTAAGAGATGAATTTATCATGGGAAAGCTATATATTTCGATGTTGAAAAAGACTGACAGGATTTGTTTTATTAAAATAATTATTTTAATAAAAACAGGGTAAGTGTAATAATAAAAAATGAAATGCCATACCTGGGTCCACTCATTTGTCTGGGGGTCATAAGCCTCCACTGTATTAAGGTAAGTCTGTCCATCATACCCTCCAACGGCATATAATTTATCACCAAGTAAACAGACCCCCACTGCATCTCTGCTGATGCTCATAGATGCCACTGCAGTCCACATATCTGTTTTGGGGTCATATCTGAAAGAAAATTTTATAACTAGAGCTGTTAATGTTCTCACAATAATCTATGGAAAAATAGTTCTATCCTTTAAGCCTATCTCGTCTTATTATCTGCTATAAGAAGCACATTTGAACATATTTTAAAGAACAATATCCGTATTTTCTTGAAAACTTTTAACTTACAATATTATAGATTCATTTATACGAATTAAACTATTCAAAAGAGCAAATGTAAATACTGAAAACAGCTTTACGGTTTTGGATTGCCTATTGAAAATTTGAGGAAATCAATATGTGAAGATCTATGTAAGATGCCTTATAGTCTCAATCATGGTGGCTGTCCATTTTTGGAATTTCTTGTTCCTTTCATGATGTATGTTAACTAAAACTGCCTAAAACTGTCTATCTAAAAGCAGATACATCATGTTAAGATGACCTATTTTGCTTCTAATACCTCTTATATCAATGAACAACTTTTCACTGGGTGCAGTACTACAGTGAGCCTGCAGTAATTTATGGGATAAAGTGTATAAAGACTTCCATATTCCTTTCCTGGATTATAACATATAACAAGCATAGTCTTAATTATTTTCTACCCAATACAGGTGAAACACAGATGTAACATTCCTGCTTTCTCAAAAAACACCAGTCAACTCTGCTTATTATTTCACAGAAAGCACTCATTGTCATCAGCAAATCTTCATTTTACTGTTTATTCTTCTTCTAGTTGTTTATAATTTATTAAATGACTCTGTGTCTCTCCCTTCTCCCCCTCTCTCATTAACTTCCCATTGCTCTTTAAAATCCAAAATCCTTAATAAGGCCTGAAGACTACATGACCTGCCCTTACCTCCATCCATTCTCCCCTCCTTCCTCCATCACTTTGTTCTCTAGCTACAGTGGCTGCCTTTCGGTTTTCTGAATAAATCACATTCCTTTCACTTTGGGGTGTCCATACACGCTCCTATTAACTCTACCTCCTAAATCATTCAATTTTTCCATTCCTTGAACTAGATTAAACACAACAGGTGGGAGCCTGAACTACTGTCCAAATCTTCCACTGATGCCAAGTTCTTTACCTGGCACCAACTGTTCCATGAGGCCAGTTTGGATGACTTGTTGAAGCTTCTAAGCCTTATTAGCCTTTTGTTTTCTTTTGTATTATTTCTTTTCTATCAAAATGTGTTAGAAATGTCCTCCTGCTCCTTTTCACTTCTTACTTATCCTCCAGCCCCTAATTCATTCTCTCTAAAATTCACTTTTTTTTTTCCTATTAGGTAGTGTCCAGTACAAAATAGGCACACAATAAATTTGTCATATGATTCAATTGATAAATTATACAATCAATTCTAAGGTAAAGTTTAAGTAGGCAGACAATGATGAGAGAAGAATCTGAGGAGGCTGTTAGGAGACAGATGAGAGATGGCCACAGCAGACAACCCAATGTTTACAAAGCTCCTCAAGAACCACCTTGCATGTAGCTGATGCTCAATAAATAATTATGAATTTATTTGGAAGTGTCAGGGGCTTATATTTGTTTGCTTTTTATCCCTAGTTTTCCTGTCTCAGGAAATTACCTTTCTACACAGTCTGAGAGTCTGGAAGTCAAGTTGGATGCAGGAGCGTCATGTCCCCCAATAGCATACAGCAATCCATTCCAGGTGGTTACTCCGACACCCCCTCTCCTTTTGGACATTTGTGCACAGAGTGTCCATTTATTAGTATGAGGATCAAAACATTCTACTGACTTGAGACAAGAACTTCCATCACGACCACCGACTGCATAAAGTCTATAAAAAGAACAAACAGAATGATAAATAAGAAATAGTGCTCTTATTATGCTTAAGACAAGGAGGTATTCTTACAGTATTTCTTTGAATTTAAGGTGCCATCGATTTTAAGACACACTGTCAATTTAAGTGCCATTACAAAGATGATATGCTACAATTATAAGACATATGGTGTGTGTCATATGTACATATACATCTAATATCACTGCGTATACATTAAAAAGAAAAGTTCACATGAAACACTGACAACTGTTTCACAGCTGGCATCTGTTTGACATCTGTTCGACAAGTCACCCTTGATTGTAAGATGCACTGAATTTTTAGAGATGTTACAGTGTGTCTTAGAATAGAGAAGATATGGTATATAAATATAACATGACTTATTTCTTAAATAAGATAGGACTTCGTTTAAAAGAAAAGAAACAAGCCTTCTCTGAGCACCTACCACAGGCTAGGCACTTTACCTGTACTAATTTAATCATCACAATGATGCTATGAGAAACCATTTGTGGTTCCATTGTGTAATGATTAGCACTCTGGACTCTGAGAAATCATTTGTATCTCTGTTTCACAGCTGAAAACACTGGGGCTCACAGAGATTAAGAGATTTGAATGGGGTCACCCCCTAAGAAGCAGAACCTGGACACATAGTTACATTAATGAGCAGTTGTACAGTCAATAATCTTCTGGGATATACTTATAATAATGAAATAGGAGAATAAAAGGATAGCTGGAAACAATGGTATATACATTAACATTTATTATATATTATGTATAAACAGTAATCCTTCATTAATTTAAATTATTGCAGCAAAGGATACTGCAAGTTATCTAAAATAAATATGATACATTAATGGCCTAAATGCTGCCTAGTAGATCAATTTTAATTCATTATCAATCAATATACTACACTAATTTGAGTCTTTTACTCTAAATAGATGTAAAATATTTTAAATATTTGAACATTTAAATATTTTTATTAAGCACAAAATCTTCTTGCATTTACTATTTTTTTGGGAAACTCTTCATAGGTATTTTTCTATTAGTTTTGTTAAAAGAGTAATAAATTCAGTTCATTGCTTATACAAAAGGTCACACATTTTTAATTTATAGATGCCTTAATTAATATTTAACTATCATTTTATTCTCAAGAAATAACATGTTAGCTGCACCAAATTCCTGCCCATTAAAGCTTGAAGTATTTGTATTTGGTAATATATATATTTTAAAGACAGATTTCATAATTTTAATTCATCATTTAAAGTACACTATGCCACTCAAACTGGTTCTTAAATAAGATGACCATATTTTAAACAGCAACATAAGGTTGTAGCAATATCTTGTTCTAAACTTAAACTATATTAATAATATGGAAATTGGAAATTTTAATCTGTTAACATTTTTCATCTGTTAAAAACTACTTTTCTGTGTTACTATACTTAATATTAACTGTCCTAATCTTTAAACAATACTTGACAGAATAATTATCTAAATATTGATCACAGAATATTAGAAGGCATCAACTAGAAAATATCAGTAATTAAAAATATATGTACACACACACACACACACACACACACACACACACACACACACACACACACACTACAATGCTTCAAGGAATCCTGCTCTCCTCACAATGAATTCATGGGTCTTCACTGTGAAAAGTGGGATAATACAGTGATTAAGAGCATGAAATCTAGAGCCAGACTCTCTGGGTTTGAATCCTGGTTCCGACATTTATCACTCGTTGTGACTATGGACAAGTTATTTAAGCTCCACCTGCCTGAATTTCATCATCCATAAAATCTAGAAGCCCTGCCTCATAGGATTATTAATGATCAAATTTAAACTACTTTGAACAGGACCTTACACATGGTATAAAGGTTTAAGGGGCAAAATTAATTCTGTCTCTATTTGCATTCTTTTAGAAAATGGCATTTTTAGGAGATGTTAAATATACAAACAACATTTATGCTGCACTAATATTAAGGGCTAAAATGTATTGGTAACACTTTCTGAAAATCGTTATCTCAAGCAGTGGTCTTTAAACTGTATTCTAAAATAGGATTCTGTGCAAGACTTGAGGGAGTCCCCAAAAATGGTTCATTTCAAATTCAAATTTTAAAAAGTAGTTTTAATTTTCAAAGATATCACCTGGCTCAATTAAGTACCATGCAAGATTCAGAACTCATCTTTCTTCCCCATGACAGTATCCATTACAATAAAAAGAGAAATAGTATGTCAAATTGAGACAGTATTATACTATGTTTTTAAATGTAAGATTTAGGTCTTCCCTAACTTTTAAAATTATGATCAAGAATGCAAACGATTGGTAGATATTATTTAAGATTAAACTTAAAAAAAAATTTTCTCCTACTTGCAAACTACTTGAACAATTTAACTGAAGTTTCCTGAGATGCCAATTAAATTGCTCTAGTAGTTAAAGTAACTGTTACCATTTTGAGCTTCTTAATTGTGAATCAGGGTTTTCCTCATGCTGGAGAACTGATACAAAACATAGAAATGATCTGGGTGTTCTTTAAAACAGACTTATTCTTCTACATTGATTTTTTTTTAAATTGGGGAATTGGGGGGATGGGAACAGTGCTGGGGAATTGGGGAAAGGGGAACAGACAAGTTGATGTCGTTTTTTGTTCTTCAATCTAGTTGTGGAGGATGTTGCTTCACTGGCCCAAGTTGGCACCATCATTGCGCTCTTCTCTGGCGAGGCAGATCAGTCGCCGGC